GGTGCGGCCTGCCCTCCGCCCACCGGCCGGGCAGGGCGCGGGAAGCGCCGGGCGCCCTCCCCGCGGCACCCCGTGCCTTGGTTGCTGCAGCCGGAGCAGCGGCACCCCCTTTATCAATCCCGGGGAGGTACTTCCACTCACCCGACAGATTAACATGTTGATTAGTCGCATAGGCTTATTTTTATAACCGCGAGGCAGCACCGGGCAGTTTCCTCACTGTCGCAGGAGGGATGTTGGGGTGTCGTAAAGCCTCGTCCTCCTCTGACTGCACCAGGCCGAGGGGTGCGGAGGGCGCTAAGGGGCGACCGCGCGAGTGAGCACGGCTAGCTCCTGACCCTCTGTCAGGTAACAGGCAGCAGCTGAACCCTCTGTCACTACAAGAGCACCATTACCTTGTGGCACTTCTCCTCTTTGCAAAGGGAGAAATTGTTTAAACCTGCCTCACTTACACAAGCAGAGAGCTGCACCCGTGAATAAGGTCCAGGGAAGCACGGGGAGAAGAAAGACAATCCGGAGAGACAGATTTCTTTTTTTTCCCCCTGGCTATGCTGGAGATAATTCATGTTGGATATTTTCCATGCTTATTTTTAATTAATATCTAAGATCAGAAGAATTAATCCATGAAATCCAGGTGTCCATATGAATAATATATTTTCATAAGTAAACTGTGACACTTGCTGCTGTGGAAATTCAGCAATTCTGTTACGTTGCCTTGCGCCTTCTCCAATTGCTTTGGCGACTTCTTAATAATAAGCTAAATCCAGTGTGAGAGGTGTACCAGCACCTTCGCCATGTGAATTCAGATCCAAACAGCAGGGTCTGTGAAATTGAGTTGGCATTCCTCGGACCCTGCAAAATGCTAGTCACCCCTGGAAAGAGGTGAGGGAAAGTGGCTACCAAAGGATAAAGTAACTTGCATTAAAAATATTTTGGCATAGTGAGTTTCCCCAAGGCAGGGCTGGAGAAATTCAGTGGAAGGGCACTGGATTGTAAGGCAGAAGGCATGAATTTCCTTTCTTATTCTGCTAACCACTTACTGGAGCAGCTTCACTTTTCTGAATCTTTTCCCACCTTGGTAATTGGTACTTAACTGTGAGTTTTAATGCCTTGTTAAACACTCTGGGCACATCTTACTCAGGGATCCAAGTGTGCTTTCCAGTTCCCCGGCCTGATCGCACCTTGTAGCTGTCTCCTAACCGTGTATAGGGCCGAGATATATTTGTGTGCTATCACTTTGCAGGCTCTGGCAGGGATGAAGCCACAGGGTGTCCAACAGCCATCCTGGTGTGGAT